CCAAGCGAATCAGAAGGCGAGGGTTGGACGTAACCAAATAGATCCATAAAATCCCCGAGAAGCCGAATACCAGAAGGCAATTAATGGACCAAGTCGAGGTTTATTTGCTGGCGATCTCGTGGCATCGAAAGGATACCGAGATCGTGCCAGGATACAAGCTTGGTTACAGAAGGTAACCGAATTCGCGCGAAGTTACAATCGAAGTGTAAATATAAGAATGGAAGCACAAAATAGCTGTCATTAGCACAGTCAAACAAAAGCACGTTAAAACAAACACTGGTACAGTTGGTTATAATAATAATTGTTTTTATTAAACCAGTCGTGTTCTCGTGATAAACGTGAGTCACTACAGGAGCCCCCCGCTAGAAAGGGTTTACACTTTCGATAAATAGCGGTTTGAATCGTGGGACTGATCAGCTGACGAGCGATTGTAGGACGGAAGAATTGGCGAACAGGAAAGCGATCGTTGATCGTCGAGTTGCCAACGAAGGTCGTTTTCGGAGAACAGTACCAGGAGCGATGTGTTGTATTTATTGCTCGAATTGGCATGCTACACCAGAGTGGTTTGTATCCAGAATCTGAAGAGGGCGTTCGTAGAGGTGCGCACCAGAAACGCTGCAGACGTAGGACGAAACCACGTTGAGCCAAAAGACCAGAAGCGACCGTTACGACCAAGTTCGAGACCAAGCGTGTGCCAAGCATTCGAAACCAATATATCGACTGAGTGTGTTGACAAGAGCATGGGTGGCCAATCCAGCTTTCGCCAAAGTTGACTGAACTCGACGGAACCAAACGGAGATGGTCGAAGGCGTGGGCTCAGGAAACAAAAAGAAAATCAAAAAAAGAAGAGTGTAGCATACGTGTAGTATAGGAATAATCCTACACCGTATCGGTAGTTGACTGTGCGACTATTCGCGGAAGCGTACGGGTAACCGTACTCGGCGACCGGAACGTGAGACGGCTGTCTCGTTCGCGTCGCGTGAGCCTGCAATCTCATCCGAAGTCAAGGGCGGCGTGGTCTGCTGATCTGGACGTGAAACTGTCGTCTCGTCCGTAGACGGTGCAGATGACGCGTGCTGTTGACTGGGACGTGAGAATGAGGTCTCAGGTGTATCTAGCGTGGGACCTGAAGATGGTTTGAGGATCCCGCTAGTAGGTTTGCTAGGTCTAGCATTGAATCTCAGGTTGTCAGATAGGGCACTGTCATCGACGTGTGCTGGTTTGAGACGATCAATGCTGACGATCTCGACGCGGCCGTGTCGATCAACCTTGAACGTCTTTTCGTGACGAGCGATCACGCGAAAAGGGCCTTCGTAAGGTTGTTGCAAAGGTTTGCGTACCGAATCTACTCGTACAAAAACATGTGAACAGGTAGATAACTCTCGAGGGAGAGCGACCTGTCGATGTTGTATTCGAGTTGACACCGGAGACAGCGTTCGCATAAATGCAGACAGTCGATGGACGTAGTCTGATTTACCGAAATTAGGTCTGCTCCGTGGTGTGAAGAATTCTCCGGGCAGACGCAATGTCGTGCCGTATACAAGTTCAGTGGCGGAACATTGGATATCTGCCTTTAAGCTCGTTCTCACCCCTAAAAGAACGAGCGGTAAGGTTTCGTGCCAGTTGCCGTTTTCGTGTGCTCGTAGAACACTTTTAAGTTGGCAGTGAAACCGTTCAACTTAACCATTTGGTGCTGGGTGGTAGACGGATATGCTTATGCGTATGCATTCCGTACCAAGCAGCCGGGTCAACGAGGAGAATCGTTAATAGGGTAACATTTCTCGAATAAAGCGTGGAATTCATCATCACGCGAATAAAAAGTGACAAGGATTCGGTACACATACGTGTGAGTCTATTATATTAATACTATTCTTATCGTTATCCGTCATGTCGCGTATATTATATATTAAAAAATATGAAAATATACGACAGACGTGGATAGATAAATCATAGACTCACCGAATTGGCTTCTTTAGAAGATTTGATCAGAGGTTGAGGCGTGTTCCAAAATACGGGTCACCAATTGTAGCGTGGCGTCGAGTTGAGGTTAACTATGAACACCGCTACCAAGAAACACGTGCCAAGCGAATCAGAAGGCGAGGGTTGGACGTAACCAAATAGATCCATAAAATCCCCGAGAAGCCGAATACCAGAAGGCAATTAATGGACCAAGTCGAGGTTTATTTGCTGGCGATCTCGTGGCATCGAAAGGATACCGAGATCGTGCCAGGATACAAGCTTGGTTACAGAAGGTAACCGAATTCGCGCGAAGTTACAATCGAAGTGTAAATATAAGAATGGAAGCACAAAATAGCTGTCATTAGCACAGTCAAACAAAAGCACGTTAAAACAAACACTGGTACAGTTGGTTATAATAATAATTGTTTTTATTAAACCAGTCGTGTTCTCGTGATAAACGTGAGTCACTACAGGAGCCCCCCGCTAGAAAGGGTTTACACTTTCGATAAATAGCGGTTTGAATCGTGGGACTGATCAGCTGACGAGCGATTGTAGGACGGAAGAATTGGCGAACAGGAAAGCGATCGTTGATCGTCGAGTTGCCAACGAAGGTCGTTTTCGGAGAACAGTACCAGGAGCGATGTGTTGTATTTATTGCTCGAATTGGCATGCTACACCAGAGTGGTTTGTATCCAGAATCTGAAGAGGGCGTTCGTAGAGGTGCGCACCAGAAACGCTGCAGACGTAGGACGAAACCACGTTGAGCCAAAAGACCAGAAGCGACCGTTACGACCAAGTTCGAGACCAAGCGTGTGCCAAGCATTCGAAACCAATATATCGACTGAGTGCGTTGACAAGAGCATGGGTGGCCAATCCAGCTTTCGCCAAAGTTGACTGAACTCGACGGAACCAAACGGAGATGGTCGAAGGCGTGGGCTCAGGAAACAAAAAGAAAATCAAAAAAAGAAGAGTGTAGCATACGTGTAGTATAGGAATAATCCTACACCGTATCGGTAGTTGACTGTGCGACTATTCGCGGAAGCGTACGGGTAACCGTACTCGGCGACCGGAACGTGAGACGGCTGTCTCGTTCGCGTCGCGTGAGCCTGCAATCTCATCCGAAGTCAAGGGCGGCGTGGTCTGCTGATCTGGACGTGAAACTGTCGTCTCGTCCGTAGACGGTGCAGATGACGCGTGCTGTTGACTGGGACGTGAGAATGAGGTCTCAGGTGTATCTAGCGTGGGACCTGAAGATGGTTTGAGGATCCCGCTAGTAGGTTTGCTAGGTCTAGCATTGAATCTCAGGGTGTCAGATAGGGCACTGTCATCGACGTGTGCTGGTTTGAGACGATCAATGCTGACGATCTCGACGCGGCCGTGTCGATCAACCTTGAACGTCTTTTCGTGACGAGCGATCACGCGAAAAGGGCCTTCGTAAGGTTGTTGCAAAGGTTTGCGTACCGAATCTACTCGTACAAAAACATGTGAACAGGTAGATAACTCTCGAGGGAGAGCGACCTGTCGATGTTGTATTCGAGTTGACACCGGAGACAGCGTTCGCATAAATGCAGACAGTCGATGGACGTAGTCTGATTTACCGAAATTAGGTCTGCTCCGTGGTGTGAAGAATTCTCCGGGCAGACGCAATGTCGTGCCGTATACAAGTTCAGTGGCGGAACATTGGATATCTGCCTTTAAGCTCGTTCTCACCCCTAAAAGAACGAGCGGTAAGGTTTCGTGCCAGTTGCCGTTTTCGTGTGCTCGTAGAACACTTTTAAGTTGGCAGTGAAACCGTTCAACTTAACCATTTGGTGCTGGGTGGTAGACGGATATGCTTATGCGTATGCATTCCGTACCAAGCAGCCGGGTCAACGAGGAGAATCGTTAATAGGGTAACATTTCTCGAATAAAGCGTGGAATTCATCATCACGCGAATAAAAAGTGACAAGGATTCGGTACACATACGTGTGAGTCTATTATATTAATACTATTCTTATCGTTATCCGTCATGTCGCGTATATTATATATTAAAAAATATGAAAATATACGACAGACGTGGATAGATAAATCATAGACTCACCGAATTGGCTTCTTTAGAAGATTTGATCAGAGGTTGAGGCGTGTTCCAAAATACGGGTCACCAATTGTAGCGTGGCGTCGAGTTGAGGTTAACTATGAACACCGCTACCAAGAAACACGTGCCAAGCGAATCAGAAGGCGAGGGTTGGACGTAACCAAATAGATCCATAAAATCCCCGAGAAGCCGAATACCAGAAGGCAATTAATGGACCAAGTCGAGGTTTATTTGCTGGCGATCTCGTGGCATCGAAAGGATACCGAGATCGTGCCAGGATACAAGCTTGGTTACAGAAGGTAACCGAATTCGCGCGAAGTTACAATCGAAGTGTAAATATAAGAATGGAAGCACAAAATAGCTGTCATTAGCACAGTCAAACAAAAGCACGTTAAAACAAACACTGGTACAGTTGGTTATAATAATAATTGTTTTTATTAAACCAGTCGTGTTCTCGTGATAAACGTGAGTCACTACAGACTTACAGAACAATTTATTTAGGGAATTTTCATCGCTATAGTTAACTTATTCATTTGTTCGCGGGACAATTATCTTTTGACACTTTTATTATCACATTATCTTCCAATTGCAACCAACCAGCTTCCTACCTGGTAATGTGATAGCTGCTGGTATCAAGACTCCGTACTGCCCTGAGACCAACGGACTCACCCAACTTTATGATATACAAATCTACAAATAACTAACAAACTGAATGAAATTATTGCGGTCTAGTGGGTAGACTACCACTCCCTAAACAAAACCGAACCCATCGAATTGTACTGATACAGCAGTATATACAATATCGAGACAAAGATATTGGACATCGGATTCATTGTTTCTGGCCAATCAAATAGCAGCCCTGAAACAAGACAACGTTTGTAGAAATTTGAAGCTTTCAGTTTGTTGTCGTGACTGAAATAACAAACCTATTTAAAAGCACTCACTTCTATTTCTTTTCTATTTGAATATGTTTCGCCTTGAAATTGTCTACAAGTTATTTCACTTTATGCGTTTTCCAAAGGAAGAAGTAAGTGCTTATAGATGTACAATTCTGCTTACATCCTCTAGTTTATTATCTCTAGAAATATATCATATTTGTGTTCATATTTTATATTACCCTGTCTTTAAGTGCTATACTGGAATCAGGTCGACGTCCTTCTTCGCTTTCCCGTGCTCATGTTTTGTGCTAGTGTTTATAATTTAGTTCGTTTTCTTCCTGATCACTTGAAAACTATCACCTGGTTACAAACTTCATTTTGGTTAACAGGAGCTTCAACCATTTGTTTTCCTGTTTGGCCCACTCTTCTACATTCTGTGAGAAGAGCTAACACAGACTTATTTTGTAATAACTTTATCATTATTTTTGTAAATGGTATATTTTTGTCCACCACAATTATCTGGTAAGTCTGACGTGATACGAACACGCAGCCTTCCGATCTGGAGTCAGATACACAGCTACTAAAGTGGAGTTGGCTCACTCGCTTTCTCCGTTCTTCTTCGCTTCGCTTTCCCCACTTTGTTTCTCTAATTTTCTGTCCAGATAAACGAGTATATGAAATAAACGTGTTCAGAACCCATTCTCGTATCTGGTTTATTTAATTCAACTATTCACTAACAGGATTCAAGTCGATAGTTATTTACGAGGGTAGTTGGCATGTATATTTCGATAACAATCGGCCTATGATCTAACTGGAGCCAGATACAGGGCCACTATGGCAAATTGACTGATAATTAATGATAGTTAAATTTAGCAAGGAAATGAATCGATTTTATACTCATCTAATTCGTTTTACTAAGATAACTAAAAGCCTGTCGAGTAACTTTTTCCTGTTCCTCCTTTTCTTGTTTGTAGCAAATGAGTCCAACTTGATTTTTGAGCTTCTTGAGTTCATGTTAACTGTCACTGCACTCAGAAGTATTGCGGTACTAAGTATCAAACTAATACATTTTTATTCCTCGTTTCACAACTTGGTGTCTAAATAAGTAATAGATGAATTGTTCACTATCACGTTGAGAAAGCTTCATAAATAATGTCATAAAAATTATGTTTTATTGCAAAATCATGCTGGCATTCTATTGTTTGCTTCCTGTTTTTATTTCTCATAGTATATGATTGACTTATGTTCACACACTATCCGTACGACATAACATTGATTTATTTCTTGTTCATCTCTATATAGATACATGGATACTAACAGGTAATTATGTGATTCCAAATGCGATTTCAGATATAAACCCGTCACCTATGTATCTTGTGGTATTTAGAATCTGTAGGTCAGTCTTTATCGTATAGCTCATCACCATACCAACTTAATACTTTTTGTTTTAAGCTTCAAGAACCTTATCAAACAAAAGATTATTTATAGATTGTAACCTAGTTCAGAGACCTGGAACACTTATTAATAAGCCAGACTATCTTTTCAAATTGTGTTAAACTCAGCTTAAAGTTCTGCTCAGGGATGTTTTACGTGATCTAAACGTTGGTAAGCTAGGTTAGCTTTCAGAATAATAAAAAATAGCCTGTGATTACTGTATATTGTTGTCTATCTATTTACTAGAGTTTATTCAATGTAATAAATATAGAAAATCATACTTCTGGCAAATTTTAGTAACCCACCATATAAACAAATTTTAATACACTTACCACAGATCCAAAATATAATTATAGTGTATAAGCCTGTCCATAGACATTCAAAGGTTAAGTTCATTCTCGTCGAAACCTAAGCCCAATCACTAGTACAATTTTTTACCGATAAATATTTATTAGGTTAACAGCAATACACTATTACGAACTGTAAATGTATAGGTGCATTTTTGTCAGTCATTTTCCAGTGAAACTAATCTTTTTTGCTTTGCTTTGATTAAAAAACTACAGATGGACGTATTTTCTAAACCAACATTATTCACTCGAGTCTTCGCTCTTTCTATAAGAAATATGAGTTCTACAGATCAACAACCAAAGCATAAAATTCTTATCGTAGGTGGAGGCACAGGTGGTTGTTCAATAGCTAATCGTTTATGTAAACATTTCGAAAAGAATGAAGTTGCTGTCATTGAGCCGTCTGCAGTAAGTAATTCTTAAATCTTATTGGAAATCCTTTATGGCAAATTACTCTTCTACCATGTTGATATTTTTATCTTAATAATTTCATCTGGTCGTCCTGTTATAATACGATAACGTAGGCTGATAGACTTCCATGTTGGGTCTTACGTTTATTTCAACTGTCTTGTTTTAATCATTACAAAATTCCTGTATGGCTTGGGTTTTCTTCTTTTAACAACTTCCCGAGCTAAGAATCTTCTGCAACTATGCTTATTCTTATTCGTTCACACTGCCGTATAAGTAACACCGAAACTGAGCACAACAATGTCATAAGTATTGCCATTTCCAAACAGTATTTTTGACGGATCAAACACACTTTAATTGTAATTTCAGTAACCTTCATGCTAAACATTATCTGACACTCAAGCTGAGTAAAAAGGACAGGAGGTCAGTTTGTACCGCTCATGAAAGTTGGAAAAATATGATCCCAAACTAATGGTGTGCTTAGGCTCCACGATCCTAAGCAGATGATTGACATAGGAACTTATTTTTGGTTACCAGTTACAATGATACAACGTTTGACGTGAATTCACTGGTTTAAGAATTACACCTCCAAGTCAGAGGCTTTCGAAGTGATCTCCCTGGATAAGTACCTGGTCCACCTTGGGAGACTATACACTATCTCAACCCACAAATTCTCTTTTGTATGGCACGTGATATTTTTGGTGTCTAGTTTTACCTGATTTTGCATGAATTCGATAAAAAGTAACGCCACAGGATAAAGTTTTTGTTGTTGACTTATTAGCTTTCAGTCTATCATAAATATCTGGACTAATTTCTAAAAGCCTTGGAATTTAATGACTCAATACTTCTTCAGACATGGGTCAAAATGAAACTCAATTACACTCATTGATGTAATTGAGGTTTTGCTTTTTTTTGATGAGCGATAGAACATACTTTTTGGAGGATTAATATCTTAACTGTGTTCCTGTTTCAACGTTAGCCTTTACTATTCCATATTCTTTTTCCTCGTGATATCGCTATATTATTTTTTTTTCATTAATATTGTTATTCAGACTCATTATTACCAACCTTTATGGACACTTGTTGGTGCTGGTATTAAACCGTTAAAGGAATCAGCTCAACCCCTAGAAAAAGTTTTAACATCAAAAGCCACATTGTATAAGGATAAAATTACACATATTGAACCAAAAGAATCTTATGTTGTACTATCAAATGGAGATAAAGTGAGTACTTTCATGAAACTAATTTTTATGTGAAAAAAAGTTATACAAAATGCATATTGTTTCCTTCACTGTTTTGTTTTTTACTTAATATAATGTAGCACATACATGCAATTAATAAAGAAAATTTTGAATACCTACTTGTAGTTTCCGAACAAAAGCTAATTTTATTACAAAATGTATCTTTTTCTATTTTTATTTTATTTTTATTTTTGTAGCTACAAGTAAAGTGACTATACTCATGAATATTAGTAATAAACTTGTCTACTTTTTAAAAAAAAATATGATATGTAAAATGAAATTTCTATTTTAATAAGGTCAGTCAGTCAGTAACAACGTAGAACTTCGTAAGTACGTACATCAGTTTGCGTTGCTATACCACATTAGCACAGAAATGCAGTTGTTGATTCAAATCCCGTAGTGGTAGAGGTAGTAAAAGTATAAGCAGTAACCAAAAAGATTAGGGCTTGAAGACTTTACTCAAGGAGTATAGTCCAGAGAAATAAATATGGAAAGAGAAAAAAACTAGGGCACAAAAAATTCAGAAGATAAGGATTTGAGAGAACACAAAGAGTGGACGTACCTGCGCCATTGCAAACGATTTTCAGCCATGTCATTCAAGGTCTCTAACCATCGGTTGCTATCAACCCACGGATCTCAATCAAGTAGTCTACACCTACCAACATAGTTCAATTCACTTGTCAGTAACTTCATGAATTTCTGCCATGTTTTGGTCTGGCCGGCCCTAGCTTTCTTCCAACTTACTCCTACACCATGAAACATCGCTCATCGGGGCAGTCGGTAGTTAGTCACGCGCAATACGTCTCCCAGTCATCTCAACTGATGAAGTTTCACTACTTCATCAATTGATCTGCCACCCTTACCTAGTACCCGTTTCCTAACAACTGCATTACTTACTCGGTGGAATTTTATACTTTGATATATACAGTTTTTAACAAAAGTGAAAGTTTGTAGCTCAGGTGGATGTTTTGACAGAGTTTTGTTCTCTGAACTGGATGGTTTGGTCGTGGAGCTTTCATCGTTCTTCTGAATGATATCATCAGCACAAAATTCCACCTAAAGCTCCCTGACCAAATCATTCAGGTCAGAAAACAAAAATTTCACCACAGTTATTAACATTTTGCGAAATTTACTTTCATTTTTTAACCAACAAATAAATATATAGGTTAATAATATTAAGGCTGATAAGATTTTCAATGAGCTGTCTGAATTCCTGTGTTAATAACAACATATTTTCTTTACTGTCCTTGGCAGTAATTAAGATTTCGTTTAGATGTTGACCTTTTCTGTACGATATCTTTTTGTTTGATCACTCTGTGGTCTGGATTTATGTGATATGTATTAAGTCCTTTATTATCTCGCTTCTATAAGATTAGTTGATTTCTTATGGTCTGATTTTAGTTATGATCTTCATCTATCACATATACCAACTTCATAACTATTTTAAATCATATCTTACGCTCTGTATGTATTGTATTTTTGCATAGTTTTCGGTGTAGTTCTTCTGTTCTTAAAACTTTAACTAAAATTTAACCAACTTTGTTGCTAATCAGCATGTAAATTATTAGTATTATGTTAGTATTGTTGAACTTTCATAGTTAGATGGTTTAATTGCGGATCTTTCATTAGTGATCCGAACAAGTTCAACGACTACGTAATTTAGAAGTTTCTCGATTATCCTACGAGCTCTTGATCAGCCCATTTCGGTATCGTTGCTTGTATTTTTTTTTTAAATTTTTATTTTATATATTTCTTTATATATTCGCTACTTTCTTTTTTGTTCGTTGTTCAGTAAGTAACTTGTTGAAATACCCTGTGCTGAGAATTCTATATTGTACCAAAATATAATATTGAATAAAGCCATTAATAATAATAATAATTTGATTATGTTTGTAGGTTTTGTCATTTTCACTTTTTTTGATATTCAATCTGACTGTTTTGTTCTGTTGTCCTCTCATCATGTGCTGGATGAACCTTTTTCATATGGGTTAACAAATATAATTTATTGATGACCAATGGGTATAATTGCTACGTTTCTAGAAATTATTTGCCATTCTGAAAATCCCATCAGTGTGAAATTTAGACGTTATCCCACTCGAATTTGTATCCATGGTTGTTTACACATACATTAATATTAATGATAACGTAGTGCGTCGTTTCACTGATATTTTATGTTCGTGTATGCGTTCATTTTGTCCAATGTAGTGTTTGCTACAGCTTTTATGATTTATTGTGTTGATGATGTGAAACGTGTCGTTCTTTTTTTGTTGTGTCTTTGGGTTCGCATAGAATAAACTTTAGTCACTGCATTGGTTTATTAGTAATATTGACTGCAGGATGTTTAAAAATCGTGATGTTTTATCATATATAATATTGTTGGGTTTCACAACTGATTGATCACTGAGTGAGGTTATAACAAATGTCGTGTGTATCAAGTTCTTCTTAGTGCAGATCGAATGCTATCGACCAAGTTGCAATGTGGCCTTAGTCTAGGTGACTCGACATTGCGTGCACTATGTTGAGATAGAATGGTGGGTTTCACATATCGGCTGAATATTTGGCGGGTACTGTGATCCAGTGGTTTATAACTTTCTGTCATTTAAAACACAAACTAGAATCGAAATTATGTATGAACATCAGTACTGAGACCACAAATTATATCCATTCAACTGATTAAAAATATAGACTCTTTTAGATTGTAACATCTGATTGGTTTATAATACATTTTCTTTGTTCATGCTTAACGTTTACTTCCAAGTCGTTTAACATGAATTTCGAAATAGTTTTCTACTGGGCACACACATTTTTAAGCACTATTCAAGGAAATTTCCTTGAAAAAGCTTAGACCAGATTGCAAGGCTATACGTTGGATTTACTTCGAATTCATTTGCTGAGATTTTACAAATACACTATTCTTTAATGACTATTTTAGGAGCTTGGCTCTTATGATCTATTTTCTGAATATTTTAACCTTTTTCTAACAAATGAATTCCAATGGTCAAACAAGAGACTGATCATAAGGTTGATATCAAGTCAGCAGTTGTAGTGTTGTACAAAAGCCTTCAAGGGCGTATCCTAAGATTTATTGAAGCCTTGGCTATACGGAAACTGAAACCCCCTTTATGTGTTCATAAACAATTCGTTCTTACCCTTAACCTAGCCTAGTAATATTGGTTTATTATCCAAAGTGGCCGTCAAATTGTTTTTGTATATTTTTTAATTGTTGAGATCATGAGTCAATTAAAGACAGACCAACATAGAAAACCTGGAAGCACTAAACGGCCGTTTCGTCCTATTGCGGGTCTCGCGCGCCAGCATTTAACCACTGGACCTTTGAGCCGGCATCCAACGGTGTTATTGTTTAACTTCAACTAATCCACGAAATTGAGCGACACACCCACCATTGTCATCAGTGAGTTACTATCTCACAACTGACTCTGTTGAACTCCACTGGTCACGGCTTCTCACTAGATCTCCAGGATATACATCTTGAAGCCATTCATTAGTGAGCATATGTTGATTAATATCAGAAGGGGTTTTTGTAGAAATTTTAGTTATTTCAATTGTTGAGATCATGAGTCACTAGTGACTGGCTTCAAGATGTATGTCCTGGAGATCTAGTGAGAAGCAGTGACCAGTGGAGTTCAACCGGGTCAGTTGTGAGATAGTAACTCACTGATGACAATGATGTATGTGTCGCTCAATTTCGTGTATTAGTTGAAGTTAGACATTAACACCGTTGGATGCCGGCTCAGTGGTCTAGTGATTAAGTGCTGGCGCGCGAGACTGATAGGTCCTGGGTTCGGATCCCGCCGGGTGGGATCGTGGATGCGCACTGCCGAGAAGTCCCACAATAGGACGAAACGGCCGTCTAGTACTTCTAGGTTTTCTATGGTGGTCTATCTTCAATTAACTCATGATCTCAACAATTGAAATTACTAAAATCTCCACAAAACCCCCTTCTGATATTTTATCTTTCTTTGTTATGGCTTACCTTTAACCTATCTAGTTGACCTTTTAGTTTTCATATAAAAGTGTTCTTAACAAGTATATATGTGATCAGATTGTTCGAAATTTATTGCGCAATTAAATCACATATTTCTGATAACCTTTGTCTTCTCATTGCATTAAACTTTTTCTACTATATTCTTTCAAAGTTTATCAGCATCGTGATATTCTGGGCTGCACAATATACTACTTTATTCAGTGAGACTAATTTATGAACGACCTTTGAGCGGCGTCAAAGTGACCTTGAGAGTGTCCACCTAATAACTAGGACCAAATGAGAGTTATAAACCAGTATGGGGAATCATAATTATGATTTACAGTTGATATTTAAAATTAGAAATTAGATTTAGGGTTTTTATCACGAAATGACATCAACTATAATGCCAAAACTCTATATAGCCAAATGGTTGAGTGACATTTCGCGCCAAAATCTAGGACCTGTCACTTTATACCTGATTGGTTCATCCATAAATTATAGTCTCTCCGCATAAAACAATAATCTTCATAAATTTCCTTTCTTATGATATTTCCTTTCAGATATCATATGAATATTTAATCTTGGCACTTGGAATAACTTTACGTTATGATAAGGTAAATATTTGTAACGTATATGTTCATTTTTCATAGACAAATTTTGAAATCATTATCTCATGCTTATATTGTAGTTAAGCTTCTTGTAACATTTAGGTATTAGAATCGCTGAGCTTGTTCATTGATTTTTCACATCTGCATAAATTGTGTCATTCTGATTTCCGGCTTTTCCTCTGAACATTGTGTCAGTTTGTGGTCAACCGATCATTCAAACGCAACGTAGAATCTGGTTCATATGTATATAATTAATATAACTTGGAGGTAGTATCCTACTTGAATAGATCAAAATGTATATCCTTAACTGAGATTGAGAAACAAATATCAGACGTTAAAAATCACAAAAAGAAGTATAAACACTCACTTCAGAGACATTTCCTTGACCACCATTAATAATATCACAGATATTCTTTTCTAATGTTCCCACCTAACCAGCTATAAATAAGGCATCATAAAAGAATGAATTTACTCAATTTATGTGTAATGCATGACGGGAAATCTGTGATTAATATGATAATAGTTATCTTTCAGTAGGGTAGAACTGATTGAATACCAAAAAGGATATGACATTAGTGAACAACATTGTCTGTGCTTAGACTGTCATCAGGTTTTACGCCAATCGTACAATAAAATTTATACACATATATATGAATAAAGGATATTCGTATTTGAACAAAGATGTCTTCAAACAGTCAGTCGGTAGCAAAATTTAACCTGATATGTATGTACATCAATGAAAGTTGTCATACGACATTCGCTCAGAAAGATGAAATTATTAAGGCGAATTACACAGTGGTGATAGAAGTAGTAACAGTATCAGTGGAAATGGAAAAAACTGAGCATCGAAGATACGATTAGAGAAAATACAAATTTGTGACTTCAAAAGAATTATGAGGAATTCAGAAGCTCAGAATTAAGGAGGATACAAAAAATGGATGCAAATGCGCCACTCCAAATGATTTTGAGCTATATTATTTACAGTCTCTAACCATTGGTTACGATAATCACGCGGTCCCCTGACCAGATAGTTTACATCTATTAACATGACCACATTTCGTCCGACCGTCCCTAAATTTCTTCCAGCCTAATCCTACACCACATAACACCACAGGTTGAGATAAGTGGAGGTTCGGGATACTTAACATATATCAGAACTAACTCAGTTGATAATCATTCACTACCTCATTAATTAATTCACTATCCAACCTAATACTTATGTATAGCCTCGACGTGGATCATTAAACAGTCTCAAAAGATAACAGTGATTCTTCGAAAACACTTATGATCGACTGCTAGCAGCCTAAGAATGTCATTTATTCTTAATGGCTGTTTCACTAATGCTGTTGCTTCTGTTCAGTCAGAAACAACGTAGAACTTCGTACGTTGCTTCTGTTACTACTCTGGGACTTTACTTGACAGTTCTATCTCAATGTAATAATACTTAATGGTGGGGAAGATTTGTAGTTCATGTGGATGATTTTGATGGAAGAACACCTACTCCGAAAGGGATTAAACTACAGTACAAGCGACGCCTCAAAACTTAAATTCTTCGCATCACTAGATTCATCACTCAAAACTTCCGGAATCAGTGAAGAAACACAACAAGAAATAAGGCAAACTGTAGTACCGCTAACTCAACAGGTGAAGGAAAACAACCAACTGACCCCACAAGAGCAAAAAGCTTTGAAGGAACTCAGAACCAGAAAGGATATTGTCATAGTTCCAGCGGACAAAGGACGCACCACAGTAACTATGAACAAAGAAGAATACGTCGAAAAAACCGAAGAACTACTTGAACGTAAGAGTGCATACAAACTGATGGATATAAATCCCGTCAAAAAATTAGACAACTGAATCTCAAAGACTTTAAACAAGCTAGTCAATGCAGGAGAAATAACAAAACAAGACCGATGGAGAATGAAATCCAGTGGACCAGTACTCCCTCGATTCTACGGCAGACCCAAAATACACAAACCAAACATTCCACTACGTCTAATTATAGCACTCTCCGAAACACCAACATACAATTTGTTAAAAGAAATTTCAAGAATACTGAATCATTTAGTCGATTCATCCAACCACTCCATCAAATCCCCCACACAATTCCTGAACCAAAATATGGACATTCAAACCAACAACGACGAACTGATGATATCCTTCGATGTAACAGCGTTATTCACCTCAATTGAACCAAGGTTAGCAAGAGAAACCATATCCCTGCTCCTCACTAACGACACAAATCTAAGTACACGAAGCTTCGAATTCAAAGTCTACTAGAACTCATCGATTTATGCCTAACAACACTTTCAATTCAACAACAAAATCTACGAACAAACGAAAGGGACACCAATGGGATCAACAATATCAGGACTGATCGCAGAAACAGTGATACAAAGACTAGAAGCCGCGATATTACCAGTGATCAAGCAAAAAATTTGGATTCGCTACGTAGACGACACCTCCGTCATCGTCAAAAAGGATGAACTGGAAAACACATACAAACTGATCAACAACGTTTTCAATGACATCAAGTTCACAATGGAACAGGAGTCAAACAACCAACTAGCATTCTTGGATGTATTGATCACTAGAACTGATACAGGAAAACTGGAAACTCAAGTATATAGGAAACCGACTCATACAGATCAAATTCTCAACTACAACAGCAACAACCCAAGAGCTCACAAAATCAACTGCGTACACACATTGTTCAAGAGGGCGAGGACACACTGCAGCACACTGGCAGCACGAAGAAATGAAGAGAAATACCTAAAGGATGTATTTCAGAAGAACGGCTACCCAATCAACTCCATCAAAAAGCACCAACGGCACACAGCATCAGAACCCAAGTCAAGCACAGAAATCAACAAAAGGATCCCCTACCATACATAAAAGACATATCAGAAACCTCAACGAGACTGCTAAAAACCTTCAGGATAGGTGTGGTACACAAACCAACAAAATCACTACAATCAATCTTATGCAAACCAAAGGATGAAATAACAAAGGAAAACAAATCAAACATCATCTACAAAATAAATTGTGCCAACTGCGAAAAACACTACATCGGACAAACCGGACGCCCCCTTCACCTTCGCCTATATGAACATCAATTAGCAGTCAAACACCATGATATTTCCTCACTTATATCAATAGACGTGGACAACTGCGGACACTCATTCGATTGGGAAAATGCGGAAATCTCGGACAGAGGAGATTCCAAAAACACCAGAGATATTTTAAGCACTCAAGTCAATCAGCAATCAATAAGCACATTGAAATCGATCCAATTTATCAACCAATCAGGAAAATCATGCACAAATATAGGAACAAAAATCAAACCAATGGGAGACACAACCAAAACAAAGAAGTAAACAATGACGGATTTAAGGTCGACAAGTGCCAATCAACATCGAGGTGTACAGGACAAGCTGTGAACCACATGTGGAGATATTTGAACACTTCACTTCTACCTGGAGTTTGTGTTAATGATGTCGTTCAGAAGAACGATGAAAGCTCTAGCCCAGAGAACAAAACTTCATCAAAAGCAGATACTTAGTTACAAAGTAAACCAATAGAAACATGTTTCAGGTTGTACGTTGCACATGACTGACTGCGTGTTGTGTTTAACGGGACTTACAGTCAATAAATTTATGGGTATAGATAGAATGACTTTAACAATCATCAAACAACCTACTCATTAATTTCACACTAGTTTTCCTGCCTCTGTATATATTTGATTAATTGTTTTTCCATTTTCTTCTCTAAGGTTATTGGAGCTGAAGAAGCATTGAAAAATGATCCGCGTGTTTGTTCAAATTATTCTACAGATTATGTAGAAAAAACTTATAAAGCTTATCAAAATTTCAATGGTGGAAATGCTGTGTTCACATTACCAGCTGGACCAATTAAATGCGCTGGTGCACCACAAAAAGTTATGTACCTATTTGAAGACTACATGAAAAGGGTAAGAGAATATTCTTGTTTTGATTAAATTGGTATAGTTACTATCATAATTAACCTTTGTCAGTTGTCTAGTGAACCACTAAAAATATCAGGTAATTTATGACCGGCTACAATCGATCCACCTAACGAGGTGGAATTCCGGAAGGAACCCTGACTTTTAAAGCTAAAAGAGTCACCAGGCCTCGATGACTTACGTCCGGCCCTTTTTAAAGATGGTGATGGATTTCTGATCAGGGAATTGTTTGATCTGTTTGCACAAGTTTTTAAATTATAGTGTGGTGTGTGCTACTTATATTGACATAAGTAGTAGATGATGTTAGTCGTGAACAGAATGTCTAGTAGCAGAGAGACAAGAGGATCGAACAGTAAAAGATGGAAACAAATGCAATTTGTATGAAAATGCAAGAACAATGAAGTCTGAGTCATTATGAGACAACTGATGGACATTTTGCAAATTAAGTATTTACTATTTGATTGTTGGATTTTATTAACAAGTCCTGTAACTTTGTGTCATATACATTCGATTGTCCTCACTCGTGTTATGTTCACTACAATAGTATCATAACGTCCTAAAATGAGGTGATCGTTATCCTTATCTTGAAAAACGGTTTACGTCATCTATGAAACAGCTTTCAAGGGATAAGCCTACTTTCTCAACTTCCCTCCTTAATCTCTTCACAATCTTTTTTATTATGTAACGCATACTTATTTTAGTTCTTCTTTGTACTAATGTTTAAATGTTTAAATAATGATGATAATTAGGATCTTTTTGATGGTAATGCGGATCTCTGACTCCACAAGTCAGAATCTTATCACATGATATACTTCAATTATGTTTTATTTTGTACGGTTATTTTTTGTATTATATACAGTGAACAGTCATTTTAAAACTACAGAACAGTAGAAAATATGTTCTGAGTATCCAGACTAACATTACAATATTGGTAGTATAAGAGATAATTACTTTGTAATTTATGCTTTCTTAATTATTGAACTAAATGTGCTTCATATCAAAGTTAGCGATACTAACTGACTACTGAAAATCTTAAGTAACTGAAGTTTGATTCAAACTTATTTATCTATAATCAAAAGATAACTTCTTGAACGTTTAAATAAAATCTCACTAAACATATTGATAACTTTATTCTGTTGTAGTACTGCATAATATGACAGCCAAGGGTGATTGAAAATAAACTTTTTCTACTAAATTGTAGATAACTTCGAAATAACTTTCAGAATCTGAAATACTATTTTTATCCAAAAATTTTAAACAGTCTAAAGAGATTCATTATTATGTTCTGGATGTATTCAATAACTAGAGGAATAATATACTTTAAAATGCTAAGTTACTTATTTACTTACGCTTGTTACTCCCAATGGAGTATAGGCCACCGACCAGCATTCTCCAACCTACTCTGTACTGGGCTTTCCTTTATAGTTCGATCCAAATGTTGTTCATTTTTCTCTTGTCTGTCTCCATTTATTGGCATAACGTGCTATTTGGTCTTCCTCTTCTCCTTCGGCTTTGAGGATTCCAAGCGAGAGCTTGCCTTGTGACGCAGTCGAGTGCCATCCTCAATGTGTGTCTCATCCACTTCCAACGCTTCTTCCTGATTTCCTCCGCTGAGATCTGGTTTGTTTTCTCTCATAGTAGGTTGTTGCTAATAGTGTTTGGCCAACGGATCCGAAGTATTTTTCGTAGACAGCTGTTAATAAACACTTGTATCTTCTGGATGATGGCTTTCGTAGTTTTCCAAGTTTCCGCCCTATACAGTAGAACTGTCTTGACATTTGTATTGAAAATTCTGACCTTGGTGTTGGTTGACAGTTGCTTTGAGTTCCATATGTTCTTCAGTTGTGAATATGCTGCTCTTGCTTTACCGATCCGCGCCTTCACATCTACATCAGATTCACCGTGTTCATCAATGATGCTGCCCAGGCATGCAGAGGGAGGCTGAAGCCCCTCTGGGGCTACTACCGGTCCCAAGCCCGGATAACGGAAGAGGGTTGGGCATGGGATTAGCGACCCCATACCGTAGAAGACTAACTCGTTAAAAAAACGCTATCCAGAAAAAAACTGAGTTACATATACTTAAACTCTATCATAGCAACTACGACTTGGATAGTTCGGGTTTTTCTAAGTTTTACACCATAGCTTTGCTTTGACGTTTAGTACACAAAATTGTAGTTGTTTGGATAGCTTTTTTGCATATATTCAAAAAAAGCAATGTACCTTGAAAATTATCATCTGAATGTAATTAACATTTTGGATATACATTAGTTACCGGTTCCCTTAAAGAGGAAAAATACTTTGAAAGTGTTGTTGGGATCAGTCAACACTAATACCTTGTTTTGATTGGCCATAGAAAATGCGCATACCAACCCAGTCGATGATCATTCACTCCCTCATCGATCGACAGTTTTTTGATTGTGGCGATTTAATCAAGTTTGAGAAAGTTTTCTTCATAGACGGAATCTAATCGATAAACAACACGAAAAGGCGGAGAAATTGAATAGCTATTCTAGTTTAGGACAAATTATGCAATCAACCAACCAACTTAAGTGCCAGAATCCATTATGTTTAATAAAGATAAGCTTGTGAAGTTGTAATGGGGATTAATAACGAGTTGATTTTAACTGTGTATCACCGATGAGATTGGATTGTTATTATTACACTTTAACACAAATGTTCTGTAGTGGGAAATGTATAAACGATTAAATAATGATATAAACGAGTGGATCTTGATACAATAATCAAAACAGATTTCCACTGATGACACTTGAATAAATATCAAAAATGATTGTTATTCCATAAAATCGTATATATCAGTTTGCCCTAGAATATCAAGTGCAAAAGCTCAGCCATTGATTACGAAAAATATCAATTTTTGTACACACTTTTAAGCACAATACAATGAGTCATCTCATTTTTTTCAACTCTGTCTTTGCACGGAGTATTGCCTCCAAATGCCCTGGTACGGCCGAGAGTCCGCTCTCCCTCTCGAAATGCTCTCACATGACCATGCGTATATAGCCTCTGCCAGGAAAGTCCTACTCACCGCCTTCTCGTGGCACTATTGTTGTTTACGAAATTGAGAGGACAAAAAGCGAATGTTCGGCACTTTAACCGGGTTGGTGGACATGGAAAGTTCACCTAGGGTAGTTGCGAAACCTTGATTCCAAATCAATGGTCACATGGGCTCCAGTATCCTGAAGGAACAAATGGCGTATGAACCGATTATTGGTCACCGGCTACCATGGAACTGCATCTCCTGACGTTGTTCCACTGCCTTGTGGATCAGATTTTCAGGCCGAAGGTTCCGGGTGTGGCCCCTTAAGAAAACCACCTGCTTCGGTTTGGGCACCCGGACTGTATCACAACCCTCACACAAATCAAATGAGATTTGTTTGGCGCATATGTATTTGGTGCCTCATTGTACCAATATCTATGTTTTAAAATAAAATAACAATAAAATGCTTATTATTCTTGTGACTTAAAGCAATATTGAGGCCATCCGCACAGGATGCACACATACCAATAATAGACTGATCAATCGCAATCTTAAACATCAATAGGGAGTTCCAAATAACCAATACAAAAATGAATTAATGTTAACTATCTCATTAAATATTATTATCATAAATCAATGTAATTGTGCAAATTCGAATCTCATTGATTATTTCAATTAACTTCCTTAAGATTGCAGATTTATACTGGTTGTTAACGAGTTCATATACTGATAAAAACTGGTTGCTTTGCTGCTGAATGCTTACATTACTATAACGAAAGTCTTTATTCATACTGGTTAGTTAAAACACTAAGAGAATAGTCATCAATTAGTAACCTAATTAAAGGTGTATCACTGTTTAAAGTAAATTGTCATATAATTAAGTTGCAGTTTAACAGTTAATGTCAACATCAATGATAATCTAATTGACGAGTCTTAAACAGAATGTAATGCCTTCCATATATATATAATGATATGTTCAGCCAAACGACATTTTTTCAAAGCTCCATTCTTGGGTGCAACATTTATTGAATACTTCGTGATTTTCAGTGATTGTTTAACTGATATCTTTACTTACTAGCATCAGTGCAACTCCTTATGTATGTAGAGCATTTTCTTTTTCATGTTCGGAGTATAACAAGCTTCCCTGAAGCTAGTCGTTGTTGTCCAACCTGCGTCCAACGTGTTTCACTGATTTCAAACACCTCGAAGTTGTATCTCCTCATTTCGGCAGCAATTTCGATGACTCTCTGTGTCTCCCACATTGTACGAGCATTTCATGTATCTAAATTAATGATTGCTCTGGTTGTCACAAGAGGCATCAGTTTCTTGACTTCCGATGGAACTCGGCTTTCACCATGAGGCGTTATAACTCTTCTAAATGAAGACCTTCTAACTCTCAGGGTTGAATTTAAACGGTTTGAATTATTTTTTCTAGTTAACGTTTACTTTAGCAAGTTAGTTTTCTACAAGATGGGATCGCTAACCCTATTACCCAACCCTCTACCTTTATCCAGGCTTGAGACCTACAGTAGCCCCAGAAGAGCTCCAGGAGGATTTTACCTACGTATGCCCAACGACCGACTACCTCGACGTGCTATGTTCAGTGGTATAGGAGTAGGTTGGAAGAAAGCTAGGGGCGGCCAAACCAAACATGGCACAAGTCCATGAAGTCACTGACAAGTGGACTGAGTCATGTTGGTAGGTGTAGACTACCTGGTTGGGGACCGCGAGATGATAGCAACCGATGGTTAGAGACCCTGAATGACATGGCTCAAAATCGTTTGCAATGGCGCAGGTGCATCCACTCTCTGTGTTCTCCCAAATTCTAATCTTCTGAATTCTTCATGTCCCTTTTTTCCTCTTTCCAAATTTATTTCACTGGATTATACTCTTTAAATAACATCTCCAAACCCTAATCTTCCCGATTACTGCTTGTACTCTTATTACCTCTACCACTACGGGATTTGAATCGACAACTGCATCTCTGTACTAATGTAGTGTGGCATCTTGAACTGATGTACGTACTTACGAAGTTCTACGCTGTTACTGACTGACTGACTACCTGATATCCAATATTTCCTATTATATTTCAATGGTTTTTTTTTGTTTTCAAGTTTAAATTTCATTTACCTGATGTTTTCTTCATTCTTCTTTATTGATAGTCTGGTAAAAAGATTTTGGCAAATATTCATTATTTTACTGCTACTAATAAAATGTTCTCAGTTGATAAATATTCAGAAAATTTAACAGAAATCTGTAAAGAACGAAATATCACTTGTAATTTATCATATAATTTAGTTGAAGTAAGTAATTCATTATTGTTTTAATAATACGATATCAGTTGTAATATTTTAAGTTATATATATACAAACAGATACTGACTTAACTATATTTGTTTTCTTTGCCTGTGTACATCCTAACAAGATACTTTATAGCCAGTTATCTATTGATTTTAGATAATGCATTCTTTGTGTGTACTTTTCAAGGATGAATCTCTTATCTTGAAGCTTAATTGTTGATTCGATGTATCAAAATAGCATACTTTTATTCTATAAAGACACTGAAAAGCATTCACAATTATCAAAATGCTGTGAATAATGATGCAAGAAAGCGTGGAATGCATTTGTCTCCATCATTGAATGTCAAAGGTTGCTTCTAGGACTGGTCCTTGTCAAGCGTGTGATCACTTTATTTATCCTTGATTTTTTTACAGGCCCTGATAGATAGGTGAATCACGAAAGTTCGGTAAGAATAGAAAACCTGTGGATGGATCTACCTGTAGGGTAAATGATTGGAAGTACGCTGAGGGGCAGTTCATACTGTCTTGCCCAAATACGTGTTACATGGCTTATAAAACTGTAAAACATACATAAACTATACCTTGCTCATTCATATTGGAACTACCAAGTTAGTAATGTTGGGGTTAGGTATCGAGTTCTAGGTACAAAAGAGCAAGTCGATTGATCATTGAATCTGTACAATTAAGACCGGTCACCTTAAAGTCTCGAACCATTAATCACGATTATCATGCAGTTGTTATTCGAGAATTATGTACTGTTTCGAGCTGCTCAAATCAATGGTCAGTAACTTCATAGATTGATATCGTCTTAGGTTTTGTTCGCTCTGAACTTTCTGCTTAATCTTTACTTTAAAGAATCCAGTGACTATGTATGCCTGATACACTTGTCCTTTAACTTCCTCATTCTATCAAGATTCACAACGTTATTAATCACTTTTTATCAGTTCTATTATACTTGACTTCAGCATTACTTAATGATGTTTATATAATTTATGAACGATTGATTTATTGCATCATGTAGACTTGTTGGTAAATGTCATTAAAGTATAAGTTGAAAACTTGACCATTGTTTGGCGTAGTTGAACTATTTAACAGGTAACCACTCAGATGTATACTTATATAGTGTTTTAATTAATCCACTTTGGACAGCCAATAAATATCGCGTTAACCGTTACACTTGATTTGTACAACTAAGAATCAAGTACACAAAAATATGTGCACTCGGTTACTGAGTTCATGAAAATCATAATTTTGATTTTTGATGTCGGTGTACCAACTTAAGGATGGCCAAATCAAAACGTGGCATCAGTCCTTGAAGTCACCAACTTCTGGTCTGATTCATGTTAGTAGATGCAGATTACTTAGCTGGGGTTCACGCGACTATCGTAACCAATGGTTGAATACTCTTGGTGAAATGGCTCAGAATCGATCACAATGGCGTAGGTGTATACACTCTCTGTCTTCCCTTAAACTATGCGATTAAAACTGTTTTATATCTTTCTTTCTACGAACTAAGCCTTTGTTTCTGTACTATGCCCTTATACACAATCTTTCTTTTATATATACTACCATTGAATTAACTACTTCTATGAATTTGTTCATCTTGTTGTGCTAATGATGTGTAGAAACTTGGACCGATGCATATATGCGCCTAGTCCTACGTTGTAGCTGACTGACTGACTGAAGTTGATTATTTTAAATGAACTGTCAGCTATCATTTTCAATAATGACGTCTGACATTAGTATTTAATGAATTATTATTTCCATGTAGTCTGATCAATTTCACAAATTCATTTACTGTTGAGTCGCCTTTCCGAGAACTTCAACGGAGCCTCCAGAGGCCCTAAAAGAGCCGAAAAGTCCTAGCCAATCAGAGCATGATGGAGCTTTCTAGAATATCAACGTGGCGTGCTACTATCGGTCAGTAGCACAATATGTCTTTTAGAGGATTGGCCAAAATTTGATGTTGATTTAACAGATGTTAACATCTATAAATACCCGTGTTTTTCCGTACAAAAAGGAACCTTTGGAGTAGTGTTTTTCGCTTATTTTCACATTTTCTCTCAAGTTCAGGTCGCCACGTAGTTCTAGCTTGCCGGTTACCAGAATAGCTTAGGAACCGAATAAAGCATTCGAATTCGCAAGACTTAACATTTAATCTTCCCGAATTTTATTATCTATGGCTATTTTGTTTTTCCATGTAATACTGTTACTACTGTGGGATTTGTATGAATCATTTCATCTGGCTTTAGTGAAATGGTGTTGTAGCAAGTGGGACTGATGCACATGTGTTCAAGATTCTAAGTTGTTTATTACTAAATTACTAGTTTGTTTCATCATTATTACTGCTAATAAAGTCATTTTAATTATTATCAGTGTTTCTGAGCTCATATTGATTAATACATTTCTTAAAGATATCAATATACCATGTAAGATTCCTAGCTTAATAGGATGTGTTGAAGAATGTTTTATGGTAATCTACAATCGTTTTTATTGTAATTCGCTTGTGAAATGGTATTGTAGATAATGAGAGCAAGAAGTTTCATTGAATATTGTCAGTGATAACAACATCACCAAAAATCTTTTGAACTTGCTTGATGACTCACATAAAATAAACACATATGAAAACTTTTTACTACAGTAAACGTCATATATGAACAATTTAGTCTCATTGGGATATATTGACTATCGGGAAACTTTGGACGGGCTAACAATCAAATCGTTATCCCATTTTGTATTATTGATGCTCCTATGCATTGTGTGAACAGTAGACCTTAATTAGTCATTGATTTCGTCGTCATTCAAAGCTTTTCTTTCAGAAGATGATTTATTTCCTAAATCACAACTTAGAGTTAATCGATCTTATATCGTTTGTCGCATTTTGAGATATATCTTGATGGTATTTATAGACCAGAAAGTGGATAAGCTTCTGTTTACTTTCTTCCAGATATCGTATGAGTAAAACTAACATATTCGAGTTTTTTTTATGTGAAAAAAGTATTACACAATACTATTTGATTATGATGGAATTTTGTTCTCTGAGCTGAATGGTTTGGTCGTGGTGCTTTCATCGTTCTTCTGAACGACATCATTAACACAAACTCCAGGTAGAAGTGAAGTGTTCAAATATCTCCACATGTGGTTCACAGCTTGTCCTGTACACCTCGATGTTGATTGGCTCTTGTCGACCTTAAATCCGTCATTGTTTACTTCTTTAAAACAATTAGTCCCTTTGATAAATTTCGATAATGCAATGAGAAGACGTAGTTTATGAGAATTATGTGATATATTTGCGCAATACATTTCGAACAATCTGATCACACATATACTTGTTAAGAACATTTATATATGAAAAATTAAAAGGTCAACTAGACAGGTTAAGGGTAAGTCATAACAAAGGAAAAATATTAAAGTACACAAAAACAAATGTGATTACCACTCTGGATAGTAAATCAGTACTACCAGGGTAGGTTAAGTTTAAGTGTAACAGTTACCTCAGCAATATTGTTATATACATAGATACCATCGAGTTAAGTATAAAATAGGAAATTTCTGTATCAACTATGTCTATATGAATTCTTATTTCTCTGGGTTTTTTTTCAGGTAGATTCACAAGCTAGTGAAGCAGTATTTCAACACATGGAAACTAAAGAACTTAAACGAATCAAAGTATGTTGTTAAGTAGAGTTTGGGTGTGTATTACATTTCTTTTTCAACTAAATTATTCAACAATATCTTGACCAGTTATAATTCTTATACTAAATATAAACGATGATGTGGAATCAATTAGTAACTAAATGTTCGTACAGTACTTTGCCTTCCATTAGTTGGCTATAGGTTTAAATTTCATTTTTGTAATGAGCACATTTTATTTACTACCTTACATGTAAAAAGTGTGCTCTAAAACCGAGTAAATGAACCTGTGCTTGATAACTAATCTGAAATATATAGAACAGAAAAGTGACAATGATTAAGATATTAATGAATGAGTGCTTTAACTCCACTCTAACTCACTGAGATTATGAGATAAGCTGTTTATACTCTGATTTCCACTGCCTAGTATACCTTAGTGACAAGACATATCACTTGGATAGACTACTTCATTTGATGAGTCCGAAATCAAAAGAAGAATTTATAACAAGCTAAAATACATTTCAAATAATGAATAGTAAAAGTTGTCGTAGTAAAAATGTTAATGGATAGGTAAAATCCACTTTAAAAATTATCCTACCGTCTTTTCACTGTCTGTCTTTTAGAGCTGATTTATTGAAATGAAAATCAGTTAGCTTGTTCCTGCGTGTTGCTGTTTCGAATATGCATTGTCCGAGGCCTTATCATGCTAATAGTTTATAAACAGTGACTAAGACCATGTCTTGTAGATCTCAATCAGTATACCTCGATCTACCAATACTTGTCAGACAAAACATAAATCGACTGTATTATCACCTTTCATCACTACTTACCTGATCTTAACGTTAGCAATGCTCTGTTTAGAATCATGATTGAATCCAAGGAATTGGCTCATATCTTCATAATTTTTAAGGCTATATCTCTCGGCGATAAATACATAGCTCTGTACTCTATGGTTGACAGATTTCCACTCATTGATTTAGCCAGTTTTGTGGTGTATTCTACTTATGTCGACAGATATAAGTAGTATATGTAACATCCGTGAAAAGTGGAATGTCTGACAGCAAAAGATTGAAAAGTTCCAATTGAAGAGAACAGGATTGTAGACAGAGAATAATTACAATAGCAATGAAGGAAAAATAGAATTTACGATAATTGATGAGAGATTTGCAAATGAGGTATTTAATGTATGGTTCCTTACATTTTACGAAAGAACTCTATTATTCTGCATTGATTAATAAACTGACTGCCCCCATCTGAGTTCTCGTTCACTACAGTTGAACGTTCACTTAATCGATTACCATCAGTTCTACACCTTTAACAATAATTTCACATGTGTTTATTACTTAAATACATACACATGTGACTTTTAATTATCTGGTAACTGTCTTGGACAAGATATTTTTTTCAAACAAAACACCATTGACGACTAAATGAAAAAAATAGTACAAAATAATAATACGTTTTAATTTCCATAGTAAACAACCTTAAACTATACACGTACAACAATCCCAGTACTAAAGCGTTTTAGGAATTTCAAGGTCACAATACCAATTTCAGTACCGGATGCTCACGTTCGATCGGTTCACAGCGGAATTTAGAAAAGACATTATAATTGAGCGCCTACAACAAATAGGACTACTAAAAAGGTCCTTTATTTATGATTGTGGTAATCAAATGATTTGTGGGCTTTGTTCAGACTTACGTTTTGATGTTGTCTTTCTACGATTCCTCTGTATTTCTCACATTTGCTCAGATCTCCTTTCTTTGGTATTTTGATGAGGTGCCTTCTTTCCAGTCCATCTGCTCTTGTTCTTCTCCCAAGATCTGCCTGAATAGAATGTGGAGCGTGTTTGTGGTTACTTCTATGTCTGGCTTCAAAGTTTCCGCTGCTTTTTCGCTCCTGATTTGCTTGGTAGTCATCCTGATTTCTTCTACTTCCGTGAAGTGACATCTATTGAAAGGTTTATGTGCGCTGCTTCGATGTCCGTTGGATTCACTGGAGCTGGTCCATTCAAGAGTCCCTCCAAGTATCCTACCCATTTGGTCCTCTGTTCTTGGGTCTCGGTTTTTTTTACCGGTCTCTGGTTTATTATATCTCTCTGACAGTTTCTTCGTCGTGTCATATGGTTGTTTCACATTTCCTTCTCTTATAGTTTTTTCCGCTGTCGTCGTTAGCTCTTCCACGTTTTTCTGCTTGTCAGTTCTAACGCTCCTCTTCTACCTTGAATTTCTCTGCACTTGTTCGGCTGTTGTTAATTGCTGTCTTCTTGGTCGTCTTTTCTTGAAGTGTGTGCTGGGTTTCCATTCCTTATGATGATGCTTGTTACTGCACAGAACCTCGTGACACGTTGAAGTTAGCGCTTCTTTCATTATTTCCGGTTGTCCTTTATAGTGGTTTCTCCATTCAGTAGATCCTGTAAGGCTTGGAACCGGTTATTGAGAGTCTTCTCGAATTCGTTGTGTCTGTCAGTATCTCGAAGGAAGGATGTATTCAACCTTTTTAATGCTGTTTGTCCAGTTGTCCAATGCTTCTTTAGCTTCAGTTTAATCTTGGCCACAACCAGGTGGTTATCTTTAGTTATGTCACTCCCTCTCTTGGTTCTCACATCTTCCATTGACCTTGTGAATGTTTTCCTGATTCAAATAAAATTTATCTGGTTCTTCGTCGTTTGGTCCGGTGAGATCCATGTAGCTTTGTGAATGCGTTTGTGTGGGAATATTGTACAACCTATAACCAACTTAATGAATGCACGTAGATTTGCAAATTCACCGTCTACGGGAGTTGGAAAATCCTCATTCCAAACCATTGGTGCACATGAGCTCCAGGAACTTGAGGGGACAAATGGCGTATGAACCAATTATCGGTCACTGGCTATCATGGAACTTCATCTCCGGACGTTGTTCCGCCCCCTTGTGGATTAGACGTTTATTTCCGGACAGTATCCCAGCCCACACACAAATCAAGTGACTAGTGTGGTACTTATGTATTCGGTGCCCCTTTGTACCAATATTTATGTTTCAAATAAATAAATGATTCCAAAGTCACATTTATCAGCGTTAAAATTCAATCATTTACGTTTAGTTTTTATCGTGAATTACTTTATGTCAATTAACTAGGTCACAATTTGTTTACATTAACAAGTAATATAATTATTCATTAATTCATTCTAAACCATGTCACACATCGTTTCTGACTATTGGTTAGAAAAATGACACGGAGCCTAATCATGTAGTCTACGTCTACCAAAATATAATATTGAATAAAGCCATTAATAATAATAATAATAATAATAATAATAATAATAATAATAATAATAATAATAATTGCTCAGTTCAACAGTCTTTGTCTGCATGAACTAATTCTATGCTGGCATAGACAAGTTTGTAGTCTCAAAATACATCAGCGATGCTTCGAATACATCTTTGATCGAATACTAGTAACTTGCGAATATACTTATTAAGGGCACGTTTCACAGTTGTAAAGTAAATCCGGAAGGGCTTCCGCTTAGCGAACTAGTCTTTCGAATCGCAAGTGAATATCTCGCTTACTTTGAAAATAAGCGATGCTACAAACTCTAACCGGAGTTCCCAAATCTCTGTCAACATTTCGTCAGGCACCAACCCACTTGGATTGATGAAACTCCTGAGGTAAGTAAAGCGGTCAACGCACTCAACTACTTTACTCATTGTCGTTAATTCAGGCAGTGCCGCAGGCCGAAGCAAGATTGCTTTCATCGTTCCTTTAGGAGGTCAAAAAACTGTATTTTGTCTCCGTCTTCACCAATCGTGACCGTGTCATCTGCGTATTATTAGTCAGCAAGTGAATCTCCTGGTAGGATATCAATCCCTGGAAAGTCAGACAATATTTTTAAAATAATATGTATGACAAATATAAATAAAAATGAGTAAAGCGGACAACCATGACGAACAGCATTTGAGGTAACAACTTTCGTACTAGTCCTCTCTAATCTCTGACTCGATCAGTAGTGTTCAAGTAGAGAGCTCATTCAAAGAAATGTACTGTTTTATATATCATGATAATTGAATTCAACTACATTTGTTGGAACATTTGTTCCTTAAGATTTCACCGTAATAGGCAGGTCAATCGGAAAGCTATAATACTAAAAACAGTAAACTAAAGATCTGACAGTGAGATCTTACTGCCAGTTGTAATGAATTGTGATGGCATTAAAGTGTTTTCCTCAAACAATCAACATTTTGGTGACATTGCTTTCCAACAATAGAAAGAAAGGGTTAATAAAGATTGAGCCTAATAGTAACTTACATCGTCTTCTCTTACCGGCAATGAAATCACAAAACTACAGGGCTATCGTAACAAAACAACCTAAAGAGGCACCATTTGTGACTGTTCTCAAACAGTTATCACTTGAGCTCTAAAATTACATGCCCAAATCATGAAAAATCACCAGTAACCCATCCTTAGTTTTTACAAGTTAAGTGCCCTAAAAGCAAACATTCGTACTTTATTGTAAATAAATTTCAGTCAAATTCTTTTAGCAATAATTCATCGGTATGGCGAATCCAGTCTAATTAACAGATTTTTTCACTAGGACATTTAGCCATGTCAGTTATCTGCTTACTGAAATAATTCCTCTTAATAGATGTATTATTGAGTAATTAAGTTACAAATTAACATTTGATGATGTTAATCGACTACAACTGATCAGTACCTTTTAGTGTATGCTCTTTCCGATTAAATTGTCTCGATGTTGTTACTGAATGATAATTAAATAATAATTAAAGTTAGATGGTGGTTGGAAGAGGAAAACAGAGATAGGCATTTCGTCCTATTCATGACTGGTCGGGTGGGTGTACTTGCATCCCAGTTTCATTGTACACATCCACACTTAAACTCAGTACTTTTCACTTCAAACGCGATCGCGTTATCCACTGAGTCCCTCTGTAACCATCGATACTGGTACATTTAATTGTATTCCAAATAATGTGAAAATTCTGATTGAGATCATGAATCAATTGATGTTAGACCACCGTTGGAAACCCGGAAGCACTGGACGGCCGTTTCGTCCTAGTATGGGGCTCCTCGTCAGTGCGCATCTACGGTTCCGCTCCCCGCGAGATTCGAACCCAGAACCTATCGGTCTTGTGCCAGGCGCTTAACCAACTAGACCACTGAGCCGGCATCTAATTCTTATCCTATATTCCAATGTTAGCCATTATTCCAACTTTATCGTGTAATAAATATTTTTAGTTTTGATAAATGAGAATTTTACTTCTCACTCGCTGATCAATTATTGTCTTTGGATATTCCAGCAACTCATTTAGTTATATAAGATGTTCGAAAAGAATGTAACATGAACCAAATCTTATAAATTGTTGACTCATATGTTGTCGTATGTAGTATATTCTTTTGATCATATGATGGTACACTTGGTCACTGCAAACTTAAAACTCATTCTGATCAAACAGAGTTACTACAAGCTTATTATTTACGCATATCAAATACTACTACTAATAATAATACTTCATTTTGACTTTTTAAATTACCAACATTCCACAAGTTCTTTCTATCGTTGAGGAAGCGTTATCATCAAGAAATATCCCAATATCATTCCATTTTGTTGTTATCGTTTTGTCTATTTTGCAGTATGACTTTTTACATATCACTCCACCAATGTGTTGTCCGGAAATTTTAACTAAAACACCAAAATTAACTAATCCAAAAGCATCTGATTATGTAGATGTCAATGTGAAAACATTACGACATAATCATTATGATAATATATTTGCCCTTGGCGATTGTGCTGCATTGCCCACATCGAAAACTGCTGCAGCTGTAGGTAAGTTAATAAACATATTAATATTATTATGTTGAATGCCAACAACCAAAATCACATGACAAATCACTGGTCGAAATCCCGATTCTAATTTGGTCTATTTCGCGTTGACTAATTACTCTATGACTTAATGTTGCTGAATGGACCAATTTCGCATCCAAACAGCACTATTAACTTCAAGTCAACAGCTAAGTTCTTATTGGTCCACCTATCTCCAGCTTCACTCTCTCTCTCTCTGTGTGTGTGTGATTTGCGTTCGAGATATTCGTCTACCAAAGTAAGGATGCGTTTACTGCGCAGCAAATCGATCCGTCCTACTTTATGGCATTGAGACATGGCCGGTAAGAGTATAGAATATTCTTAGGTTACTAGTATTTGACGACAGGTGTCTTCGAAGCATTGCTCGTGTATCCTGCGAACACCGAGTACGTAATTAAGTTGTTAGGAAACGGGTACTAGGTAAGGATGGCAAATCAGTTGATAAGGTATTGAAACTATATCAGTTGAGATGGCTGGGACACGTGCTACGTATACCAAACCACTGACTGCCCTGACGTGCGATGTTTTATGGAATAAAGCTAGGGGTGGCTAGACTAAAACATGGTAGAAATTCATGAAGTTGCTGACAAGTGAACTGAACCTTGTTGGTAGATGTAGACCACCTGGTAGGGATCCACAAGACGATAGCAACCGATGGTTATGGCAACTCTAACTGATGAACATATGTACGAAGTTCTACATTATTGCTGACTGACTGACATAATCCTATGTTTGTTATTATTCTATACATTTCATTGATTGATCTCATATACCTAATTTATAATCATATTTCTTAGGTTAAACTATTCACTACCTATTCATTTTATTCACTTCTCTCAATTTAATTAATGTTAAGATATGGCAAATCAAAACCGATACACATTAAAACTCAGATCCTACTATGATCATGATTTACTGATTTTTGATAATACTAGTCAGTTGATGCATAAGTTTAAAGTTTATAATAAATTGTTTTTAATAGATGGCAATTTATGTTTAGCTTAATTACTATACAAGAATATAATTTTGTATTGAGATTGTTGTGTTATCAGAAACATTCTCAATCACAATTGATTGATCAATGGATGATGATCAATGTCATGTGTGTCATGTCCTTCTTGGTGCAGATCGAATGCTATCGACCAAGTTGCAATGTTGGTTGGAGGGTTTCCTGTTGACTACCTCCAACCACCATCTAATTTCAACATTTCTAATGTTTGTTTAATGTCTTCACATAAAGTATATTTGGATATTTTCGTAAACAATTTTATACGTGATTGTTACGTAATAATGTGTAATGTTCATTAAGAATTTCGTTTCATGGTCTAAGGTTTACTTAGCCTTGTGTTTTTCATCCGATAAATAAGGTAGCAACAACATTAAATATGTTTTTTTGACAGACGTTCTTGAATGACTCTATGTATTTTAAAGGGAAGTATTAAGTGAATATTACATTCTAGTATACAGAACTTACTAACTAAATGTCCTGGTAAGGTCGAAAGTGGAGAGAGTCAGCTCTCCCTCTTCAAATGCTCTCACATGACCACGTACATACAACCACTGTGAGGGAATTTCAACTCACTGCCTTCTCGTGGCGGGGGTATTTACGAAATTGACAGAAAGAAAATTGAATTTCCGGTGCTTTAACCAGGTTAGTGGAAATGAAGGTTCCACATAAGGAAGTGGCGCATATATACTGGCGCACTCTTGTACCAATATTCATGTGTTCAAATAAAATAAATAAAAACATAAGTTGGAAAACCCTCATTGCAAACCATTGGTGCACATGAGCTTCAGAACCTGAGGGAACAAATGACGTATGAACCAATTATTATTCGCTGGCTATCATAGAACAGCATCTCCTAACGTTGTTCCGCTCCCTTGTGGATTAGACCTTTAGGTCTAAGAATACGGATGTGGCCCCTCAAGGAAACCACTTGCTTCGGTTTGGGAACTTGAGGAGAATCATAGCCCATACACAAATCAAGTGACTTGTGTGGCACATATGTATTCGGTGCCCCTTTGTACCAATATTCATGAGTTGAAACAACCATGTTTAGTTATCCGAATTGATCATAGCTCGATAGATGCATTCGCTCAATCTATTTTTCCTCTTTAAATCTTATTCTCGTGTATTCCTCCACATACATCTTTCCATTTCATCTTCTCACGTCATATTCTGTAGTTTATATCTTTCTTGTCATCATTTAACGTAGAATTATAGCGATCTTTTTGCAAATCATCGTTTTAATTTGGTTTTATTATTACTGATTTAGTTATGACAAGTTAGTCTAATGTATATTTGTCCGTATATTTGTACGTTGATTATATTTGATTAATTATTCATTTAGAAATCATCATTATTCGTATTATCAGACTGGGGGTTTATGGATGTTGTAGAGATTTTAATAGTTGAATTCATGAGTTGATCTAGGCTAGACGACCACTGAATACCTAGAAGCACTGAATGACCATTTCCTCCTAGTATGGGACTTCTGAGTTCGAGACCCGCGTGTGAGGTCTTAGATGCACACTACTGAGCAGTCATATACTGGGACGTAACAGCTATCCAGTTCTTCCAGGTTTCTACTAATGGTCTAGCTTAAATCAACTCATGAATTTAACTATTAAAATTATTCATATTATCTATTTAATTTTACTAGGCAACTATGAGCTTTATCAACATGTTTCATGCTTTGTATTATTTTAACAACAACAACTGGTGCTTTATAATCATTAAATGGACAGTATTAGTAAATCAATGAATTATTTCAGTTTGCTTCACTATAGACAAATTTGTTTCTTTTTCATGAAGCGTTTTGTTATTGAAAAATAAAATCAGTTTCAGATTTATTGATTGTATAACGTGTATAGTCTACGTTACCTAATGAAGGTATGTAGAAAGATTAGAACATTCATTACTTAAATTCATATATATATGCTTAATTTACCAATCATATTATTGCTATTTTGGCCACTTTATTAATGAATTTACGTTATTGTCAAAAAAGATAATTACTTGATGACACTCCGTTGAAAGTAGAATAATCGAAGGTGTTATTTTGATGGATTGTTGTGTGTGTTTCGGGTAGATTTTATTAAATTCACTCATGGTATTTGAAGTAGTTTGGTGTTTTCATTATTTCAAATTGTTGGATAAGAGAAAGTAAACTTTCATTTTATGATTGAACAATGTTATTATCTTAATTAGACTATCGTTGAAAATTTAGGGGCACTGAACACCCGTTTCAACCCTAATGGGACTCTTCAACAGAGCGTGTGTACGAACCCAAAACCTTGATTCGCACTCAAGACCACTGGTCTCACGTGCGACAGTATTGATGTCTAACATTAATCAATACACGATGTTACGTAACGATCTTCTATCATTTGTGGTGAGTAACTGTCTCACACAAGAAATGTTTAAACTGCTCTGGTCGTCGCTTCTCTCTAAAGCTCTAGAAATTTCACCTAGAAGTTAAGCAGTTGTGAACGCACGATTATTTTCAGTGTAAAGTTTCTATTGGGGATTCCGCTTTAGTCAGTGATCGAAGCGCTACGTGTTTGCGTGTGTGCCAGGATGTCTTGGGATCGATTCCCGGCTGCGTAGTCATATATATGTGTTTAAACATACTTGGTTATCATTCTCATTCTATTAGCTTGTGACTTACAATCCCTCGATCGCTATCCTTAGTGTAAATCAATACACGACTGTAAGATAATTTGAGCTTTTGTGTTCGTTCTGGAAAACGTCATCGACGCTTACTTTTACATGCAAACTGTCTAGTTCGGAAAGCAAAATCCTTTACAATCTCAAAAATTTAAGGGTAATTGTTTTTTATTTCATAATGTTTGTTCGGATCATTTTGAGCTAATAGCATTATCCACTTTGTTACCACTTAACTCTCATAGAAAATAAATTTTAACCACTTCTGATATAGTTCTCTGTAACTTACTTCTTTTTGAACAAGAGTCGCATGTCAAGTACATCATTCATTCACTCCAAAAATTAGACGATTTGATATACTTAGATTTACCAACTAATTGTGGTTAGTGTCTTTTATTGGATTTTTTCTCTTATCTCTGTTACTAACTGTTAATCCAACTTCTTTATCAGTCATAGAGCCTAATGATACAATCATAGAATTCAGATCAAAGTAGAGGTGTTAAGAGAGTAGATTCGAATCGGTTACTGAAAAGTTTAAAACTCAAATCTTTTCTACAAATAACCTGCTTTTTTTCATACACCTGATTCATTACAATGAAATGTATCTTTGTTCATTTTAAGTGCCTAAGTACATGAAAACGTATCAATTATATCAATTACCATCTACTGTGAATACGTTGAGACTATAATAGAATAACCTTTAAAGCTACTTTTGTGAGGTGATCCGCACAGGATGCACATATGCCAACATGAGACTGATCAATCGCAGTCCGAAATAACAGTGGGAAGATACAAGTAAAACAACACCAAGTGAAGTTAAACTTCACCCCATTGCATAACCAGGTGGCTACCAGGAGTCTGTAGCTAAGTGGATAACGCGATAGCGTTTGTATACGGACGGTACTGGGTTAGAATATAGGAGTGAACAGCAACTTTGGGATGCATGTACGTCCAGCTGACGAGTCCAAAAACAGGACGAAACGCGCATCCTGGATTCCACTGCGAGCCACTATCCATCTTTGCTTAAAAAAAGTGCCTTATAACTACATCGAGGCAATCCGCACAGGATGCACATATGCCAATGTGAGACTAATCAGTTACAGTCCTAAACGGCAATGGGAAGATACA